ACCAACAGGGTCTTATAAAATCTACGTTTCATAAAAGATTGACAGGCTAATATTATGAAGAACTATCACAGAACAGAAGGATGCCATACGGCCATCTGGTCTGTACGAGCTCTCTGAATGAACAATATACCTCAGTGTCATTCGACCAGCTTCTCCTTGTAACTGTACACGTCTGCCTTTTCAGACAGTTAGAATTATAGGAAGAAGTAGTGATTCTAAGGTAGACCCATCTGGGTGATGTGGAATTAAGAATCTAATGATGACCATGAATCCATTGTTGATTGTCAGAAAGACCCATCTGGTTCACTAATGTCCTTTAGGGAAGGAAACTGCCATCCTTCCCTGGTATGGCCTACATGTGACTCCAGACCCACAGCAATGTGGTTGACACTTAACTGCCCTCTGGATAATAAGGGATGGGCAATAAATGCTGCCAAGCTGGCGAGTCCCTCACCCTGTGAACGAATAAAGAAAAAAACTCACCTGTTCTCACCCAAAGAAAAGAGTTAAATGGTCTCATGCCTCAGTATATTATGAAAATTCAGCCAATGTATGTATATTTTAAAAACTAGACCCAACAGACCATTAAAATGGCTCCTGTGACTGTTGGCATTTGAGCTTCAGACAGATCTAAATCACAAGTGACTACTTGAGATGAAAGTAATTGCACTTGACATCAAAGTTGCATCTGAAATCAAGGAGACTGATTAAAACTCGAGTCAATAGGTATAGGGGAAACTGCTGGTTGGAAACATACCTAGCCCAAAGGAAGATGGTTGTGATTATTGGAGGTCTCAATTAATTTTGACCGTATTAGACAGGAACTTTCAAAAGTTGATTGGGGGAGGCTATTTACAGATAAGGATCATAGGGAAGTGGGAAGCCTTTAAAATTGAGATAATGAGAGTTCAGAATCAGTACATTCCTATTACTGTGAAGCACACGGCTGGTAGGTGTAGGTAATGCTGGATGACCAGAGAAATTGAGGGCCTGGTCAAGAAAAGGGAGACATATATCAGATATGGACAGCTGGGATCCAGTGAATTGCTAGAGAAGTATAAGGGCACTAGGAGTATACTGAGGATGAAAATCAGAAGGGCAAAAAAGGGACATGAGGTAGCTTTGGCAAATAGAGTTAGGGAGAATCCAAAAAGATTCTGTAAGTCCATTAAGGGCAAAAAAGTAACTGGGGAGAGAATATGGCCCCTTAAGGATCAACATGGCCATATATGTGTGGAACCACAGGAGATGGGTGAGATAATAAACGAATATTTCGCGTCAGTATTTACTGTGGAAAAGGACATGGAAGCTACGGAACTTGTGGAAATAAACAGTGATATCTTGAAAAGAGTTCATATTACAGAAGAGGAGCTGCTGGAACTCATAAAACATATAAAGGTAGATAAATCCCTGGAACAGATCATGTGTTTCCCAGAATTTTGTGGGAAAGCTAGGGAAGAGATCGTTGGGCTCCTTGCTGAGATATTTGTATCATCGACAGCTATGGGTGAGATTCCAGAAGTTGGAGGTTGGCTAATGTGGTGCCGTTATTTAAAAACGGCTGTGAGCAAAAGTCAGCGAACTATAGAGCGGTGAGCCTTATTTCAGTGCTGGGTAAGTTGTTGGATGGGATTCTGAGGGACAGAATTAACAAGCATTTGAAAGGCAAGGACTAATTAGGGATTGTCAAAATGGCTTTGTGTGTGGGAAATCATGTCTCGCTAATTTGATTGAGTTTTTTGAAGAGGTGACGAAGAAGATTGATGAACATAGAGCAGCAGACATTGTCTACATGGACTTCAGTAAAGCATCTGACAAGGATGCGCAAGGTAGACTGGTTAGTAAGGTTAGATTACATGGGATCCAGGAGGAGCTGGCCAATTAGATACAAAATTGGCTTGAAGGTAGCGGACAGAGGATGGTGGTAATGGGTTGCTTTTTGGACAGGAGCCCTGTGATTAGCGATGTGTCACAAGGATCAGTGCTGGGTCCACTGCTTTTCATCATTTACATAAATGATTTAGATGTGAATATAGGAGACATGGTTAGGAAGTTTGCAGATGACACAAACATAGATGGTGTTGTGGTCAGTGAAGAAGGTTACCTCAAAATACAATGGGACCTTGATCAGGTGAGCCAAAGGGCCGAGGAATGTCAGATGGAGTTTAATTTAGATGAATGTGAGGTGTTCCATTTTAGTAAGGCTAACCGGGGTAGGGGTTACACAGGGCCCTGGGGGGTGTTGCTGAACAAAGAGACCTAGGAGTTGCAGGTGTATAGTTCCTTGAACATGGAGTCACAGGTGGACAGGATGGTGAAGAAGGCATTTGGCATGCTTGCCTTCATTGGTCAGAATATTGCGTACAGGAGTTGAGACATCAAGTTAGGACTGTACAGGACATTGGTGAGGCCATTTGTAGAATACTGCCTACAATTCTGGATGCCCTTCATTTGGAAGGATGTTGATAAACTTGAAAGGATGCAGAAAAGATTTACATGTTGCCTGGACTACAGTGTTTGGGACATAGGGAGAGCTTTCCCTGGATCGTTAGAGGCTGAGGGGTGACCTTACAGAGGTTTATAAAATCATGAGGGGCATAGATAGGGTGAATAGCCAAAATCTTTTTCTGAGGATGGGGGAGTCCAAAACTAGAGGGCATAGGTTTAGATGAGAGGGGACAGATTTGAAAAGGACTTGAGCGTTAAGTTTTTCATGCAGAGGGTGGTGCGTGTATGGCACAAGCTGCCAGAGGAAGTAGTGGGGGCAGGTACAATTACAATATTTAAAAGCCATCTGGATGGGTATAGGTGTGTGCGTGCGAATATATATATATATGAAGGATATGGGCCAAACGCTGACAAATGGGACTAGGTCAGATTGGGATGTCCTGTCGGCATGGATGAGTTGGATAAAAGGATTTGTTTCCGTGCTATTTGACTCTATGACACTATGACTCAATCTCTGCGGGCATTCCTCAGGCTACTGTCCTAGGCCCAACCATCTTCAGCTACTTCATCAATGTCCTTCCCTCAATCGTAAGACCAAAAGCTGATGATAGCACATTGACTGGTACTAACTGCAACTCATCAGGCTGTGAAGCAATTTGCTTCCAAATGTAGAAAGACCCAGGCAATACATTCACACCACACAAGTTTCAGGCAGTGACCATCTCCAACAAGAGAGAATCTAACCATCATCCCTTGACATTCAACAGTATTGCCTTTGTTGAAACCTCCACTATCGATATTCTGGCAATTACCTTTGACCAGAAACAGAGCTGGACTAATCTTATAAATACTGCAGTAAATGACTAAACCACTGACTCCTCAAAGACTGTCCACCATCTACCAGGCACAAATTAGGAATGTAATGGAATGTTCCCCACTTGCCTGGATAAGTGCAGCTCACACAAAACTCAAAGAACCTGACACCATTCAGGAAAAGCAGCCTGTTTAATTGGTATCACATTCAAGAACACTCACTACTTCCAGCAGTGTTTACCATCTACAAGGAGCAATGCAGAAATTCACCAAGGGTCCTTAGACAATGCCTTCCAAATACATAACCACTACCATCCAGGAGGACGAGGGCACCACAAACATGGGAATACCACCACCTGCAAGTAGCTCACCAAATTACACAGCACTTTTACTTGGAACTATATCACTATTCCTTCAGTGTTACTGGATAAGAATAATAACATAGGAGTAAGATTGGGCCATTCAATCCTCAAGTAATTTTAGATCATACCTGATCAACTATCTCAACATTTTCCTGTGCTATCTGCATATCCTCTGGGGCCGAGAATTCCAAAGATTCACCATTTTCTGAAGAAAAACAAAGTTCCTCATCTCAGTCCAAAATTACTTGTCTGTTGTTCTCAGATTGTGTCCCCTGCTTCCAGACCACAAGCCATGAGAAACATCCTTTTTGCATCAACCATAACTAGCCTTTAAAGAATTTTATTAATTTGTAAGAAGTTACTGATGGAAATTGTGTATTGGTGCCTCTATAGCAATTACAGTATGGGGCAGAGTATAAATCAAGAAATAATGGGAAAAGAAAGGTACTACAAAAATTATGTATTCTTAGAACATTATTTTCTGGAACCAACCAGGAATATGTTATTTTGTGCCTCGTGTAATGAAGTAGAATTTATTAGTGAGGGTTAGCATCCTACCGACCCACACCTTACCATCTTTCTTTGTAGCCACACGTAGGTTCCATGTTCCCTTAACTCCTGTTTAGAACTACCGTGTCATTTATTATTCATTCCTTTGAGGGAAGATTGCAGTGATACCCAACCAGTTGCTGTCATCTCAGCCATGGCACAGCAGCATAATCTCATTCACAAGGAATTTAAATAAACAGGAGCCCATGGATTTCTCAATTACACTTGTTGTAGGTATGAATTAATCGAAAAACATTACTGGTTAGAAAATATCCAGGTGGAATTTCTGCACCATTACCTGTCAAAGTTAAGGTGAGAAAAATTAATTTAGATAGACCCACAATGGTCATGTCAATTTCCCAAGGGCTGATATCACTGCAGGGCTGCTACCTTTTCCCTAGTTCTGTAATATTCAAATTTAAATGTATCTGGAATATTTTTGCTTTTGAATTTTACAGATAAAGTCAACTTTTGAAAATAAAAAAGAATGGCATCAATAGCCCTTTGTTACAAAAAGTACAATAGTAACAATATTGTATTCTGGTAATGTGAAAAACAAACAGGATATTGTGATAGATAACACAGTGTGGAGCTGGAGGAACACAGCAGACCAGGCAGCATCAGAGGAGCAGGAAAGCTGATGTTTCAGATCGGGACCCTCCTTCAGAATATCTGAAGAAGAGTCCTGATCCGAAACATCAGCTTTCCTGTTCTTCTAATGCTGCCTGGCTTGCTGTGTTCCTCCAGCTCCACACTTGGTTATCTCTGATTCCAGCATCTGCAGTTCTTGCTCTCTCAGGATATTGTGATAAATATGATATATCATACCTCAATGTTATACTGGTGGTAAAGGACATTCTGGATGATCTCTGCTTGCTCATAATTCGCATATCCATCTTTAAGCAGATATTCTGGGAGTTGAACACATGCCATAGAGCCAAACATTTCTTTCGGGGCCAGCAAACCAGTTTTCCAATGGTTCACTAGTAAATCCACTAAACATATAAAATGAGGTTAAATGGATATTTTAATAATGTGAAAATCCAAAATATTTCTATGCACACAAAGAGAGACAGAAATATGAACAAGTAGTTGTCTACAATAAGCAGAAAAGGAAAACATACTGTAAACATACACACAGGCTGGAAGAAAATTTATTACAGATTTCTCACTACCAGCTCCATGTTGAACCTTTCATGATAAAGATGATACGAAGTTGATTTTACACAACCTGAACAACTGATCTGCGGGCATAATTAGACCTCACAGGACATTTAGGCATCAAGATTGTGCTCCTGGTGCAGGGCTGTTTTGTCATGTCCAAACTGGTTCTGGGTATTGCTAAAGGACGGAATAATAGCCCTTACACAAAAGAAAAGTGGGGAGCGAGTGACATAGTGGTCAAATAATCTAGAGCTCAGACTTCCTACTTTTGTTCTGAAAGTCTAATTAAATTGAGGTTCACTTGCTCTCATACGATTGGGAACTTATATTCCTAAACTGCCATCTAGTAGATGTGAGTCATAAATGTTTTTCAACAGTTGGCAAGAATGAAAAAAGCTAAATATTACTTAAATAGAGAATGACTGCAGAATTCCAAAGTGCAGATGGATTTAGGTGATCTCGTACATGTCACAAAAAGGTTGGCATGTAGGTATGCCACAGAATCAAGAAGGCTAACGGAATACTATCCTTTATTATTAGAGGAAGTGAACATAAATGTAAGATGTTATGCTTTAATTAGTCAGGCATTGATCAGACCACATTTCACTTGTCAAGGTGAAAGTGGAAAGATATTTCCCCTCTCGTGGGTCAGTCCACAACCAGAGGGCATTATTTTAAAATTAGGGTTTACTCTTTTAGAACAGGGATGAGGATAAATATTTTCTCTCAGATGTAAGACTTGGTAAGACATTGTCACTTCCCGCCTCAGAAAATGGTAGTGGTGGGGTCATTAAATATTTTGTACAGTTAAGATATTTTATGGTGGGATGGAAGAAAATGCAAGAGGAATTTTGTGCTGAAAATGACAATTCATCAAACCTCAATGTTATAACAGTTGAATTTATTCTTATCTTTTAGAGGTAGTTCAGTGATTCTGCAGCAACAAATCAGTAATTTGCAGAATCTTGAGCAATAGAATGAGCAATGGGCTGATTCAACAAAGTAATTCACTAATTGACATAGCTATTTATGCTAAAGTAAATAGTTGTCCTGTTGTACAACTTTCAGCAAAGACACTAAATTCCAACTCTGATTAGCTTCATGTTGTAACAAATTGACAGTCTACTCAGCTTCCAGTCATGGATGAATTTCTGAAATTAAGTGGTGAGTGGTTAGATACACTTGCAATATTTACGAATCACTTTTACTGGATGTCAACACGTGATCGTACGTTCTGAATAATGTGAGACCAAGGGGACCTCAATTTAACTATCAAAGCAGAAACAACACTTAGAGCAGCACACATAATGACTGCTTCTTGTTCAAGAATTAAAATCAGCACCAAATTCATCTGCCATCTGGTCCCAGCAAACAGTTACTATTTCAGAAATGGCATGCAAGGTCTTTTCAGGCTCTGCCAACCTCATCAGTTCTTTTTCTATTCAGGGTAAAGCTACAGATAGCAACAATTATAACTGAGGTTAGAGAGGTGCACCATTTCCACTCCCTCACTGGCCATAACAAATTAAAAATTATACAAGAAAGAGGATGTACACAATTGAACATATTTTAGACTGTATTTGGTTTAGTTCTAGAAACAGTTCAGCCAGGTTTCTTTAGTCAACAAAAAATAACTAAGTTATTGCACATGAAAAATATTCAAAGATCAGTGATAACAAAATAGGATCAGTCTGTGCAGAAATAGATATAATTTATATTTTAACATCTCAAACATGACAGGAGGCAAATATTGGTAACAAAAAAATTAGGTTGAACACCCCACGGAACATTCTGAACAGCAATTGTGATTGAGACAGCCACACAGATTTCTCAACAATCTCCCCAAAACCTCAGTGACACAGTGGGTCAGCAAATCTCTTAAAACCTCACAAGGGATTACAATTCTTCAATTTTGACAGTCTGACCCTGATACTTGCTTAAAAATCATCCTGTCATGGACTACCACAGCATTTGCACACATTGTGGTCTTTGCCTTCCTTTTCTAGGACTATGCTCCTTTGTATTGTAGAAAATGGCACTTACTCCATCTTTTCAGAAAAGAGTGAGCTTCAATTGACCAGTACTGCCCTGGATTTGCTTCCTGAGCTCTGAACTGGCTAAGCAGCAAAAAGTAAACATTGCTTTGGGTTTTCTTCACTCTTGCTCACAGCTACATTGAACTATTCGGAGCAAACAGCTTCTTCCAAGCTCCACAGCTCCCAGGACTTTTCAAGAGCCCTGACCTTGTACAAATGTACAAGGTGCTGGTGAGACCACATCTGGAGTACTGCGACCAATTTACTCCCCTTATTTAAGGAAATATATTTCATTGGAGGTATTTCAGAGAAGTTTCACTAGGATGATTCCAGTATGAAGGATTTGTCTTATGAGCAATGGTAAAATTACAATTTACAAGAATGAGGGATGATCTCATTGAAAGGTATAGGATTCTTAAGCAGCTTGGCAGAATAAATGCTGACAGTATCCTCCCCCTTACAGGACAGTCTAGGACCAGAATGAAAGGGCACAATTTATGACTGAGATGAGGAGGAATTATTTTCTCTCAGAGGACTGAGAGTCTTTGGACTATCATGCCATAGAGAGCTGTGGCAACAGAGTCGTTGTGTATATTTAAGGCTGAGACAGATAGATTCTTGATCAGAGGGGAAATTGAGGGATATGGGGAAAGCGCAGGAAAGTGGACATGAGGAATGTTGGATCAGCCATGATCCTATTGAATGGCAGAGTAGGCTCAAGGGGCTGAACAGGCTACTCATTTTCCTATTTCTTACAGTCTTATTATGGTCTGACTCAAACACTTAGGTACCTAATATCTTTTTAAAATTCTCCCTGAGTTCTAATAGCCCAGAGCCTTGCTCTTGACTTCATACTGAATTTCCAAATAAACAGTATTAATGTAATTCATGCTTTTTCATAGCAATCCAGTTAAATGGTTATTTTCTGCGTGGAACTTGCTTCTGTCCCTATCAATCTTTAACTTTACCTAGCTGTTGAAGTAGGTTGACTTTAATAGTCAGTGATAGACACGCCCCCCACTGGCCAGCAACATTGCCCACAATCATTTTCAGAGAACATTAACAGGTGATTTACTGTCTGATATTGGAGCATCCAGCCAGCTGTGATCTTGAAATGCCCCTATCACACCTGAACTGTTTGGTGTGACTGATTGAAAACCTTGCAACAAATCCTGCCCTTGTTCTGGGAGGCATTAAATGTGACAAATATTTGGAATCATGAAATGTGGCAAGTTCTAGAAACCGTCTGTCTTCTGAACATCACAATAAGAAACAAGTGTTTGCTCCTACTGCACAAACTGCTACAACGTAAAAGGAATTCATTACATGACACAACAGAGTTTTCTGGGGAGGGCTCAGCAGAGGTTATTAAAAGTTTCCAGAACAAGTAATAGGATAGAGAATATGGAAACATCAGGAGCTAACTTTAGGGACACCAGAGAAGGGGACAATTATGAGAAGGGGAGCAGTCAACCCAGGACTGAGGGTTTCACCAGGTCCATCTCTGACTCCTCCCTTCCCTTTCTTGACATCTGTTTCCATTTCTGGGGATAGACTGGCCACTAATACCCATTATAAATGCACTGACTCCCTGCACCATCCTTGCACCCTGCTTCCTGTAAAAACTCCATCCCATTCTCTCAGTTCCTCCGTCTCCGTCGCATATGTTCAGATGAGGCCAACTTTGACATGGGAGCATCCAAAATGTCCACCTTCTTCCTCAACCGATGGTTCCTCTGCACTGTTGTCAACAGGGCCCTCAACTGGGTGCAACCCATCTCCTGCACTTTTGTCCTCACCCCGTCTCTTCCCTCCCACAACAGCGATAAGGTTCCCCTTATTTTTACCTACCATCCCACCAGCATCCACATCCAGAAGATCATCAGACAACATTTCCACCACCTCCAGTTCTGAGGAAGAGTCTGACCCTACAAACAACAAAGGACCTAAGACTGATGCTTGTGGAACACCACTAGTTACTGGTCTCTATTCTGAAAAACATCCTTCCACCACTACCCTCTGTCTTCTATGACCAAGCCAGTTTTCTATCTGCTCACAATATTCCAAATGCAGTCTGACCAGCAGTACATTTCTACTCTTGTATTCTAGCCCTCTTGAAATTGATACTAACATTGCATTTACCTTCCTAACTGTCAACTGAACCTGCCATCCTAAAAATTGATGAGGAACAATTGGTGAGGGAAGGACTGTGGATGTAGTTTATATGGACTTTAGTAAGGCATTTGATACAAAGTCCCACATGGCAGGTTGGTACAAAAATTAAAATCAGAAGGGATTCGGGGTGGCCTGGCTAGATGGATAGAAAACTGGCTTGTTCATTGATAAGGGGATAAGGATTATAGGGAAAAGGCAGGAGAATGGCATTGAGAAACATATTAGCCATGATTGAATGTCAGAGCAGACTCGATGGGCAGAATTGCCTAATTCTACTCCTATATCTTATGACCTGATTTGAATTGTTTCACAATTTAAAAAGTGGCTGAAATCAACGACAATAGTGATTTACCCCGCCACGGCCTATAAAAGTAGGGAAAAATTCCTCCAATCATTTTCGGAACACCCATTAAAGTTCAATGTCAACACACAATTAACTGTCTGTGATCGGAGCTCCCACAATATTAAGGGTTTTGGAGTTGAGCTGTTGGTTAATCTGAGAGCTTCAGCCATAGCAGTGCTGCCAGCAACAGCAACGAGAGAAGAGACCTCAGACAGCTGAATGTGGCGGTGGTCTTCTGTAGGTCACAGGATGCCTGATAAGGAAATTTCAAGGAGTC